CAACGAGCATTATCATGCATTAACATGAATCCATCACCGACATAACCAGCATACGGGACCACATGTTCCTCCAGGATTTCAGTAATGTACCGACCAGCATTTAATAACCCTTGCCCACGGCCACCCCGAGTCCGGGAAACGCACACAAGTTCCGTTTTCCCGTCGACGGAAATGCCGCCCCAAAACATACACGAGCCACCCCCGTATTCGACGGATTCTTCGAAGCAGGGTTGTGTGAACCTCTCCCTCTGTTTTCTGTAGACTCTTCTACGTCTGCCATTGCAGAAGAGACAGACCCTCGTCTCATCAGAGAAGAGTACGGTCCGCCACTGTTCTAGAGTCCACTCGCAATGATTGCGAGCAAACTCTAGGCGATCTCTGCGATGCTGTGCAGTAAGTTTTAGACCTTTATCAGGTCTATGGGCTGTTAAACTCTATTCGTGTAACCTTCTTCTTATCGTAGAAACACTCACAGATGTTCTCCGAGTTGATCGAAGCTGTTGTTGCAACTTAACAGCATTTGTAAAACGGTTTCGTAAAGATGTCGTAACGATGAAACGGTCATCTCTTTCTGATGTGCAATGCTAACATAACCACCAGTCTGCTGAAAACGTTGGAACACCCGTCGAACTGAAAAACGGGTCAGGTTCAACTGTCGAGCAACGTCACACTGTCGCATCCCCGACTGCAATAGGGCAATCACTTGAGCGGCTTCTTCAGAGCTGGTGTCCATCTTTACTTGTTCTTACTTGGGTTACTTGTTCATTGTCCATCTTTACTTGTTCTTATTTGGGTTACGTGTGTTCACTGCAAAGTCTAAATTACGACTGACCCATATTTCATCCAGATCGACCCTTTTATACCCTTTTTAGGTGGTGTAACTAGCGTTCTTACTAACGAGCATTTGACAGTGTTTATTTTTGACGCTCTATAATGATAAATGTTTTAATGATTTCATGATTTTTTTATTAATTATTAATATTAAGCTATTCAAATACCCATTTCAAACATACCAATATTTATATAAATATAATTCGTTTCTAGCCATTACAGCCATTTTTCGCGCAAACTCAGAGAGGTACGATTTTTGTGACGCTGAGTGTAGTTGGTTACGGAAATAGTTTGCAGCTGATTATGGAACCATATATTGATGTTGGTGGCAAGGCAGTATATTTTGATTCACAAGAGAAGGCAGTGCAAAAGGTGGGAGGGATCTACTCTAATTATAAAATATGCCTATTCAACGTGGCGATTAGTAATAGGACAGAGAGTTCCTTTTTTAATTACAAAATATTATTTTTTGGAGATGTTACGTGATTAAAGAAAAAACATAAAAATCTGTCTGATGGTAGGTGAATATTTTATTTTAAATGGGGCTCTGACTTTATTTTCTCTCTGACTGAAATAATGTCAAAATACTGGAAGGTGGCCAACGTGCAGCTTGTTCCAAAAAAAGGCAGCCGTGCCGACCCTGCCAATTATCAGTCAATCTCAATTATATACTTTGCAAAATTATTTTTTTTCAAAAATAGCGTAGAAACTAACCAAGAAACTGTATGTAACCTTTAAGAGCAAATTCTGATAAAAAATAGCATTGTTAGATAGCTAGTGAAAAATGCAGCTTGTTGAAAGGTAGATGAACAAGGTTTGCCAATTATTTGTCTACTCTTAACGGTGAAATTGTATCTGGTCGATAAGGCAGAGATCTTAAATTACGTATTAAGGGGCCACCAATTTATTCAAATAAAGTCTTCAATTAGATTCGAACCTAGCACGAGGAATAATTTTCTAATATGACATTTTTTGACAAATGAAATTTTACATTCTAACGTGGAAGACTTAAATATCAATTATTATTCATACAATTTTGAAAAGTTCATGTTTTAATAAGATTTATTTAATATTTTCTGTTGACTGTTGACATTTGTTTACCAAATTTTAATCTAAACAACTTTTAACATCAAAAATATTTTATTTGTAACTTTTTTAAATAATTTAATCTGAATCAACAATTTATACAGTAAATATATAATCTACCGGCAATAAATAACATGCGTAGCATTTAAATGACAAATCTTAAAGACTAGCCATTACAGGTAATACCGATATAGCATTACTGTGATTTTAATGCTATATCAATACTGCCTGTAAGTCTGTAACGGCTAAAATTTACAAAATAAATGCAAACTATTATGTTGGTATATTAAAATCAAATATTTTATTTAAAAAATGAGACATCTACGATCAAAGCAATAAGTAAAGACATCTGTAATTATTATTACAAAAGAGATAATGTCTCGAATTTATTAGTCATTTCGTACATAATTACATGATTTAATTTTTTTTAACTTTTGACTTTGACTCTATCTCTACCATAAAAATACTTCTCTTTATTCGTTTGAGCATTAGTATCTAATATATTATTACCTAAGACCTAAACACACATACATAAGTGGTGTCTTGTATTAGAAATAAATACTTGTAATAGCCACAGTGTACTTTTTGAGCTTCTCTTTGTAAGCTTACTCAAATAACAAGCAAAAGTATTACAATGATCTTCATAATTCTAATAGAAAGTGCATTATAAATATTAAATTGGATTCATACACAACACAGCGCAATGGGAAAAACTTAATTAATTTCCTTTGTAAACTAATAAGCTTTAATATAATGCAAATTCATAATGTTAAAAAAACATTTTGCAATTTTAATGTCGTGATGTGTTAGAAACATTCAAGACAAAGAGAGGAAAAGAATACGAGCATCAATTTCATTCAATGGTATTTCTTCTTAATATTATTGTGCGTTCATTCAAAATCAATGCGGATTAAAATAACCATCGAGTTTAATGAGAGCGGGTAACGTTACCTTGTCGACAGTAAAGCCAGGGTGAGCCATCTTTATCTTGTATCTTTATCTTATCTTTGAATATTTATTTATTTTAAAATAACTGACTAAATAAAACGATTTTTTTATTGGATATTTAAAATGAACTGTATTTTATAAAATAATTAAAATAGATAAGTTTATATTCAAATACACGTAAAGAAATGACGTTGAAGTGAACAGTTTTGGTGATTTTATAGTATTGTTTTTTAATATTAAATCAAAATATTTTCGTAATTAAGGCGGTTTTGTGTTGCATTTCAAGACTATAATATATTCCGTTATAATAACGTTTAAAATAAAGAAAATGTTAGCTAGGGTTGAATACCTGAAAGATAACTGACGCATATTTTCATAAAACGCTATGGAGGAATTGTCTTCACTCTAAAAAACCGTCATTGAAAATGATATTGCTCTGTAGTACACTAAATAAAAACTTCATCTTTCGTAAGCCCTAATTTTCTGCAAATAATCTGCTCACATTGTTACGATATCGCCCTTGAAAAAACCCTAAAAATGAAGTTTTCGACGTGAATCGCTTAGGCCCTCTTAGTGCTTGTCCAGACTGCAAACGCGGGGGCGGAACGGGCGCGGTGCGACGTATTCAAACATAAAGTCTTCCTGACTGAGTGTCCATAGTGGCCACGTGGGCGCGGGGAGGGAGGACGCGGCGGCGGGCGCGGGCTTGTTGACGCGGGGAACGCGCGGGCAGCTCACGCCATAGCTCGTTCATACAAGTGGCCGCAGTGAAAGCGCGGGCGGCAAGCGGTTAACCACGCGAGGAGCGGGCATCTCAAACCACATCGAGCTAACCGCGCGCGTTGTAATAGCGTCTTCCGAAATAAATATAGAAGAATTAATAAGTGCAATTCAAGCACGACCCGAATTGTGGATGACGAAACATCGTCAATACAAAATTAAAAAGTTAATTTAAGATTGTGGAATGAAATAAAATCACTCTTTTCTGTACATGAAGGTATGTAGGTATTTTATTTAGAAATCTTCAACAAGGAATAAAATATTTTTAATTTTTATTTTCCCATAAATACATACAAAATTTTTCCCTTATTATTCTTGCTCTTACACTGTAAGTAGCATTGGAACGACTTCCTATTCGCCTTGTTCTTTGGTGGTTTGGTGGTAAATAAATTATATTAATATAATCTACATCCTCGTTACCGTCCAAGTCTAATAATATTATCAAGCAGACAACATGCTTTAATAATGCGGCATGCATTTTTTGTGTTCGTTTCTATTGGCTTCTGGAATATACGCCATTTTGCCGCCAAAATACCAAATGTACATTCAACTGTCATTCTTGCCGAAGACACTTTTTTATTATAGTAATCTCTTTGAGGCGTTAATGTACGCTAAGGATATGGCCGTAGTAAAAAAGGTTTTAATGGATAGGCCTCATCGCCTAGTAATACATTCGGCAGAATAACATTGGAATCGGATCAGATAACATTGGATACATGACTCGGGGGGTACATTGAACTGTTGATTTTGTAATAATTGATTGAGTTTAGAAAAGTGATAGGTTCCACCATCACTCTGTTTCCCTTTGCCTCCAACTTCTATAATAATAAATCGTTTTTTTAGCGTCTGCTACAGCTTGTAAAACTACAGAGTAAATTTTTTTGTAATTGTAATAAGCAGATCCAGATTTCTTGGGACATTTTACTCTAAAATGTTTTCCATCAATACATCCAAAACAATTGGGAAATTGCCACAAGTCATTATAATCGTGTATGTTACATTTTAGTTGGTGTTCAGTAGGTTTTGGCATATGTTGACATAAAAGGCTTTTCCATATAGCATCGCAAGTATAATAGACAATTTCAGCAATGGTACTTTTTCCCATTCGAAAAGAAAAGGCAAGCGGTCTGAATTCCATACCAGTCGATAGCAAGCTGAAACAAATAAGTAGGTAATATTATTAAATATTTTATCTGTACTTATGTAAAATAAATTTATCATTTTCAGTGTCTCTAATTAAAAAGAAGTGTAAAAATGTTAAAGACCATTATAAAAAAGAATTAAAAAAGTTTCCGGCTATAAGGTCTGGAATGGGAGGCGAGTCTGTATCTTTCACTTGGCGGTACTTCGAATTAATGACGTTCTTAAAAGATGATGTAATACCAGAACCAACAAGAGGGAATTTAGACAGTGATAATGACGATGAAGGTGATAACAATAACGTATCTGAAGACATGGATCGCATGACTGAAATATCACAGGATAGCGCCACTACAACGTCATCTTCATCCAGGCGTAAAAATAAATCAGCGGCGGAAGTGAGAGACGAGTTTCTTGAATTGGAAAATAAAAAAATTAAATTGTTGGAAACGAAATATGCTGATAAAAAAACTACTGACGACTTAGAAAAAGATGATGATTACCACTTTTTTATGAGTCTTATTCCTCAAATGAAAAGCTACACTAATATTCAAAAGTTACGAATACGCAATAAAATAACGTCAATAATTTTAGATGAAGCAGAAATGCATACGTATATTCCTAGTCACTCACGCAATTTGACTACCACTACTCTACCGAGAGATTTGACTCCTGCTAATACTTATGGTTACCATACTAATGATTTTGACGTTAATTATAACTAAGTTTTTGTTTTTTTAAGTTATACGTGCTGATTAAGTTAAGATTTTAATAAAAAATACTGATACTTATTACTTTTCTTAATCTAATTTTTTCCAACGACAAGTGCGGTGGGTTATTGTGTAAGATGAATGATTGAAACGCAATCGTGTTCACCATACTTTGATGTTCAAATCCGATTAATCGATTAATTGTGTCATTTGTATAAATATAATAACCCCACACGTATAATTCAAAATAAGTGTATTTTTATAGAGACTCTAACTCCTACAGTGAAGCGATAATGACGGTACAAAGTCATCTTGACGTGCTCTTGACTGTACCTATACCCTAGCATATGGTACAAATAAATATTAATATAAAAAACCCCCAGGTATCGTAACGTACTTACCGTAACGTTATGAATAACTTTTCAAGAGGTGGAATGCTTCGGCGAAAGTTGGTATTTTTTTATAAGACAATTTTCCATGTTTTCTAATATATAGTCAAACGTATCCATTGACATTCTTGTATATTCAAAAAACTTTTGAGGTTGAGCTCGCAATTTTACATACAGTGTGTGAAATTCTCCTTCATTTTCTCTGGTTAAATTGATTTCATTAATTCCATTTTTCACTTGTCGAATTTGCCATTTAAAGTAAGAACTTTCCAGTAAATATAAGTCTTCTTCATCCATATTATAGTTTGACAAACACTGAACACAACAACACTCGGAACGAAGCCGCACTTCACTGCGGACAATCACTTCGCGGCCGTACCCGCGCCGCGCCCCGCCCCCGCGTTTGCAGTCTGGCCAAGCACTTGCATTTCATTTGCATTGATGCAAATCGAGTGGTCAACGACATATCACTAATAGGTTTTTCTGGGTTTCCGGCAATTATGAAATAATTTTACGAAGAATGGCAATGAATATTTTCTCAAGATAAAAAGTATGGAAAACTGTATATTTTACGACGCCCACGCCTAATTTATGAATATTGTACTACTTTGGTGGAAATCACGTTTGACTTCGTTTTGACGTTTAGTTTCATTGAAAAGTCTCACAATATATGTATATATGTATATATATATATATATATATATATATATATATATATATATATATATATCGGTATCGACTGTAAGCCCATGTACTTTCCATGTTTTTTATGTAACAAAATATTATAATAATGAATAAAACAACACAGTTGACGAGTAATTCCTACCGGCAACGATACCCATAGATTTACACAATCCCAGTGCTGATTCAGATTCCTAATAAGTATCTCCCAGCAATTTAATCGCTTATTAAAAAATTTTATCACAGGGAACAAGTTTCTAACTATTATTGGAGAATGTGGTTGAAATTATGATTCCCATGTAGCTGTCTTTACAAACTAATACCCGGTTGACCGAGCTTTGCTCGGTATTTTTCGCTCGGTTTTTTTTAATTCGTATGTTTTGGAAATTATATTTAGATACAAATTACATACTGATGAAATACGAATAATATTTTTTGATCTTAGCGACATAATAGAAAAAACTGAACTGGTTATTTGAATAAAAAATCATGAGTGCAATTAGTTTAATTTAAATTGTCGTGTTGTTAAAAATACAAAAAAAGGGCTCGAAAAAATAGATTTTCACAAAAAAGAAAGGAACTTGAAAAAAAATTAAAAAAGTCGGTCGCTCGGTCTGGGCTCGAACCATGGTATTACGATTTTGTGACCGCCCAATATACTAATTAAGCTATTTACCTTCTTATTCTAACGATATTGTAGCAGTTTTTCATTGCCTAAAAACACGGACAAAAAGACATTTTCTAATAATAAATCCTAGCTAGATCGATTTATTGCCTCCGAAACTCCCTGCACACAAAATTTTATGAAAATCGTTGGAGCCGTTTCCGAGATTCCGATTATATATATACACAAGAATTGCTCGTTTAAAGGTATAGGATTCAATTGTCACAACCTTTGACTTCTCTACACTATATTTACTGTAGACAATTCAAATAACGTTTCCTTCCTTTGGAAATTCATTGGTACACGGAATATAATATAGTACATCATCTTACAGAGTAGGACCACGCTGCAGCTATATACTAAGTGTTTTTTTTACCATCTGGAAACAAATAGGATGTAACCGGTGAACGGAATAGAAGCCTAGGGCCTGATATTTTACAATTTTCTTTTACATTAACACATTATAAAATTAATATATCAATAAATACTACTATTGGGTGTGTATTATTTTAATTTAGATAGTTTTTATTGATTTATTCAGTTCAAAATTTTTGTTTTTATTTCTTTTTTTATTACCGAAAGATTATTTCAAATTATAAAAAAAATTATATATTATATATAATAATTATATAATTATAGCGGTATTTATTGATAGTTCAATTTCATATGTTAATGTAAAAGCAAAACAATCGTAAAATATCAGTGCCATAGGCTTCTAATCCGTTCACCTGTTATACCCTATTTTTTTCCACACGATAAAAAAATCATCCAGTATGGTTGTAGCACGAATGGGTCGGCTTAACCGGGTAGAACTACGCTCTCACAGAACACTAACGTAAAATAGCAGGTTAATGTTGCTGTGTTTCGTATGGTGAGTGTAGAGAACGGGAGATCCTTTTTACTGGAAACAAGGCATTCCGTCTTTGTCCTCAGTGGTGACAACGCTTCTGCATTTTGATTCTAGATCGAGAATAAATATAGATGTCTATGGGCTACATTATCCATTTACCATCAGGTGCAATGTGTGCTAGTTTGTCACCCTTATTCCATAAAATAAAATAAAATTTGTTGCTTACAAGAAAAGTTGTCCCTTCCAGAAAGTACACTACAACTGATTTACTATTACTTTAAACGACAATATCGATAGTTTTGGCCATGTTTTTGTATACCGCCATTATTCTCCATCATAATTAATTTTCGGTAGTTTAATAAAAATCATTTCTATATTAATTAAACTTTTCCTGACTCAACGCACATCCATAATATTATAACTTGTAGGTAGCGGCACGAAAGTCTAGCGGTGACCATTATTGGGCAATAAGTCGAAAATAAGGTAACATGCTACGCGCGATTGTACCCATGAGTACCCATATGCGAAGTAAAGGGGATCCTTTACGTTTCGTTCAGCGCTAGACTTACGTGCCGCGACTTAAACATAAAGGCTTTAAAACAGGGCAAACATGCATTAGAGATGTACACTTAAAAACTAAAATGCTTTTGTATCATATTCATTAATATAATATTTTTAACAATAATACACAGCAATTTCTATTTCATAATCTTCCCAAGCGTTACACAGGAATTCAGAAACACGTTTTCCGACCCAGTAAGACTCACATATCAAACACTAAAGTTCCGACCGTTTACATCCAAGCACTGGCTCTCAAATTATCAACAAGAGTGGCTCGTCTGCGATGACAGACACGTATGCACGGCTCCAGAGCCAGTCTTCGCCAAGGTCACGAGTCGTGTAAAAGACGTTGGTAGTGCGGGAAGACTTCATACGGGGGCACGTGCAAACCGAACTCCAGTGCAACGAGAACGGCAAATTCGAATTTCATTAGATCCTTCCGATTCACCCGGAATGTGGTTTCTATACGCTGTTAAAGGCGAAAAATTTTAGGTTATCAGTTTTATAAGTAATAAAAATAATAATAAAAATATTATCGAATGTGTTTTACTGTAATGTGAGCCATTTTATGTTTTTTTTTTATAGGATAGGATGACAAACGAGCACACAGTCCACCTGATGGTAAGTGGTTGCTGTGGCCCATAGACCTCTACATCTATCCTCGATTACGAATCAAAATGCAGATGCGTTGTCCTCTGTGAGGACTTAGGTGGAATGCCTCGTTTCTAGTAAAAAGGGTCTCCGGTTCTCTACACTCACCATACGAAACACAGCAGCATTAAGCTACTATTGGACGCTGGTATTGTGTGAGACCGTGATCCTTCTCCGGTCGAGTCGACCCATTCGTGCTACAACTATACTACTAATATAACTGCTGCATGGCTCTACCACGTAAAAGAGTTGTTTTAAGAGAGTTTTAAAAGGCGACTATAGGAAATATCTTGTGTGTGTCAACCACTATTTACGTTCCACTGCAGGGCACAGATTTCCTCATCGTTTCAGAGACGACTTTTAGGGATAAATGCCCTCCGCGCTGCCCCTACGGGTGTTGACGGACTTTATAGTCATCGAATTATGTTATTTATCTGAGATGCTGGTTTCCTCATGATGTTTCCTTCAACACTGAGTATGTGGTAAATCAACTTTTAAAATCGCAGCCTGCTCACATACTGTGAAATTTACGGCAAACGCTTAGTCCGCAAATTATCACGGCTCTGTTATTTTGTAATTAATAATTATCGTAAATTGACAAAAACTGGCGTAATTTCCGTATTATTTACCTCTATTAAAGCTTTCAACATTTCTCCTTTGACGTCGTTTAATTTGGCAGATAATAATAAACATGCTCCAGCACACAACTTTCTGTTATCTTTGTTTATTAGATTAGCGAGGATGAGCTTCTCGAAGTAAACGTACGCTTGCGCTACTGACAATAGGTCAACTCCACCACAATCGTGTTTCGCGATTTTGCGCATTTCTTTTTTAATACTGTAAAAATCAGTAATTTATGCCAAAAATAAGTTTTAAACCGAGTAAAAGTTAAATTACGTCAGACTTACCTTCTAAGTTTGCTTAATGTTAATTTAATGTGTGGGAATTTTTCTCTAAACTTATCATTTAACTCCTTCTTGAGATCTTGCGGTCGAACGTAGTCAATAATGGACGTCATGTACGAAGTGAATGTCAGCAGAGTTCTATGTTTGCCAGCTATCAGCTCGGGATCATCTAGTATATTTGGACAATAATGAACCTGTAAAATTTATCATCCTATATTATTTGAGAAAAAAATATATTATATTAAAATAAGGCGTATGTAGCGATGTGTAGGCTCCACGGCCTCGTCGGGTAAAATGCCTTATTTATGAAAAAT